GAGTAAAGCAGTCTTCTGTTTCCTTTCCGCAGAGTGGCAATAATAGCACATAGATTGCATAGAATAGTTAGTTATAACTAATTATTTTTATTAAAGTAAATACGACAAACAGACACATAATCCATCGCCTTAATTTGATGCTCATCAAAACTACAAAAAAGCGTTCGAAACCAATTACCATACATAGTCTTGGTGATACATTGAACTAACTGCATGCTGAAAACTTAATGAAAGCAGTGCCTTACAATCATTTACAGATGATAAACTTGGAATTCAGTTTGGTTGTTTGACCAAGTACAGGAAAAATGTGCTGTTCCTGCTTCTTCACTAATCTCGGCATATGTAAACTATATTCTTCCTCAGCGGCTGCATATCCACGTCATGAAACTACAACGAATACTAATTATTACATAGAGAAACTTGGACCTGAGTTATGTGGTACCCTACGGCGTAAAACATAGTTTTGAAAACTATCCCATAATTTTATCCAAAGACATTTATTCCTTCAGGCATCATGATCTCTTCAGAGAACGAACACCATTTAACATAAAAAAATACATATGATATTCTATGCAAATTAGAAAAAGTTAATTTACAAAACCGCCGGTTAGAATACATGACTAAAACTGATAGGAGATTGTACAGGGACTTATATCTAGGGGTAGGTGGGGTAGACATAGTAATAATCCAGTAAACCCGCGGTACTACGGGCATGGCTTAAAGTTGGAATCTGTTTCAGTGTATAGTGATATGGGGCGGTAGTTGTTATTAACTCTTCCATCAATCCTCGTATTTTCACAACAAACGGACTCACATATTGGGAACGTACCCAAACGTGCTTTTATTCTAAATCCGAGATTCTGAACTTCCGGCAAGACATACAGCCTAGAGTGCATACAAGAATCTACGGTACATGGCATGTCTTTCTTCATAAACATCATAAGCCGTTCTTACGCCGGAATATCTCAAATAACGAATGACTCCCCAAAACCAGATTTTACGACCTACTGCTTCGTCCTTTTGCTTCTAATTCCGCAGGAGGTCAGTGGTTCCAGCGGACAAAATGGTGCTAGAAGCATCTGGCAGAACAAGTGCTCAAATTCTACTACTCAAACGTATCCTGTTTAAATGCCCCCCCCGGCAATTGGAAAATGTGACATCTGATCCTGGAGAAGTCATTCGTGATTTGCAAGACCTCATGATATAATTTCATGTTACTGGGAAGTTTGAAAAAAATTATATATTTACAACATAATTTGCATAAGAGGATCTTCGAAGAAAGAGATCTGCTGACTGAATTATTACAGGCACGAAGAAGATTCAAGGTCGAAAGAATTTATTTAGCCTCTTAGATTCTGGATTGTAATCACAGCGTCTATCGAAAGACAACGTTGCTGAAATATTGGCTTCTAAATTCAACTATGAATCTTCAAAGTACATATGACAGGTGAACCAGAAGAGTTCTTTACCCAACATACTACTTCGGGCTTACGATAAAAGTTCATTTTTATTACCACCGGTTAGATAATATAAAATCGTTCCTTTTCGGGCCTCTAGAAGCAAAGGAACAATTTAATTCAGCCATGTAATTTTACAAAAAGACGCATTTACTATGCTACCAAAAATAATTCTTTGTTAGTAAACCCAGAATGTCATGGACATCTTGGTTGACAAATAATCAACGAAAATCGTGACTTTTGTTAGTGCCAGAACATGCTCTAGTAATAGAACCGTTGTTGTAGGAATTTCTGAGAATTAATACTGATATTTCAAAAAATTAACTTTGACAAATTAATATTTATAATGCGCTTAGTGCACCACAATGTCGTAGGTGCTTCAGTTACTTGTACATAATAGGTAAAGCAGAGTAATCGCCTGTATGAGTTCTGAAGCTTACAGTATTTGCTACACAACCATAAACTCAAACTCATAGATCGAAATACATCATAGACGAGTAAGCAAATCGCTACCTCATTAGCTCCATCCCTGATTGCCACAGAGGCAAGTCGTCCGGGGCCATCGACGGTTTTACCATCGTCTTCAGGACCCCAACTTGCCGAATATATGTCGATATGCTGTCGATTGAGACTGAGGCTGGCTGCTTCGACGGAGTCCGTCACCTCGCCGTCAAGCATTCGGATACCTGAAAGTTAACATTGGCTTATCGTTAAAAGATTTTGAAAAAAATGTCAGCTTACCTCCAATTTTTGCACCATGTGCGATACCCACTATGCAAAGCGTGTTGTTGCGCACGGCAGCCACCTCGCCGGCACAACGAGTTCCGTGCCGGTTTTCGTTGGTTATTTCGTAGCGGGGCAAAGGATCGCTGTCCCTGTCATTGATATCATAACTTGCCGACGGATCCTTAAACAAAACTCTTAACTGAAGCTAAAGAAAGTCAAAAACTACCAGCAAATAACATAAATTAAATACTGATAAAACAACATAATATTAAAAACACAGATATCAAGCGACAATCGCGGGCGGCCAGACACCATCTTCGGTCTGCACGTGGTGGAAAATCAGAACATATATGGAAGTTCTTCCAACTTGAGCCTAGACTGTCTGACAGTCCAATGACTATTTTGTTGTACTATTACAAGTTCAAACGCAAATCAATAGCAAGGTAGCGTGTAGTTCGCGAGACGTGCGATCGACTGTCCTGACACAACGTGCAAGTAGAGAATCCATAACTGCATCTCTCTGACCGGACGTCGGCGAAAACCTGTTGCCAGGCCAGAAATATATGGCTGTAACGGTCACAGGCGCAACTCCCAGTAAACCTTTGTGAACTATGTCAGCAAAAGATGCCCCTTCATAGGAAACGACGAAAGGATCGACACATTACTTTGAAGTATAGATCAGAAGTATCTTAATGAGCGAAAATAAGTACCTTCCATTTGCTACACAACAGCTTACTAGGAAATCGCAATGGCGCTGTGAAATTTGGATGAATAACTGCAACACCTGATCATTCATTTCAAGCTGGCGAATCATCCGAGAAGGTGAGCAAGCCCGGTCTAGTCTGCTACCAGTGCTTGGATGTCCGAAACTTACTATAGTGCTTGATTACATACAGGTAAAGGACATGGTTCTGCATTATGAACCCATTTTAAACGATTTC